TGCCTTGTTGAATGCTCAAACTCGCACCTCGCTGGCGTCCAGTAGCTCAGTGAGCGAAGCAGGATCATATAACACTGCCTTGTTTTTCTCATGGATTTTTGTGGTTTGAGGAAAAACCCTCTGGACCACTGGCCCGAGGATTTGAATAATAATTTTTGAAAAAGACCTCAATCCAAAAATGTCTCTGCCTCGTCCTGCAGAATCGCTCGATTCTTATATAATAAAACTTTCAAGCAGATAAGGCATTTTGCCAATCAAGTTGATAAAATTCATCATTTGTTGGAGTACGCCACCCCCCCATTACCATTATGAGATTTAACAAAACATGAAGTTTGCCAAAATGGAAATCCAATTGATTTATGCTGAGAAACAGATGGATTTGGAAACAGAAGTGTGGGAAAGCAGGCTGCACACCACTGCGGTGGAAAATATGACAGCAGATAAGAAGACTCATGTCGTGTCTCTACCACAGACAGTGGTGGACAGTAACCACATACAAGTATTCATATTGCACATCAGTACAGTTTGAAGGTACTTATACTTGACTTGAGTATCTCCATTTTATGCTTCTTTGTACTTCTACTCTTCTACATTTGGAGATAAATGTTACTCCACAACATTTATCTGTAGCTATTGTTACTTTTCAGATTAAGATTTAACATTAAAACAGCATATAACATTATAAAGTCAAATGCATTAAAGAAGTGGAATTAACAGCTGCTATTCAGAGATAAGTGTTTCTTTTTACTTACAGATAGTTGCTAGTTTCCCTGTTTTTACAATTAAACACATGCTTCGTTTATAAAATTTGAAGCATCACAATAGATTTAATTTAACATTAATTGTGCTGCATTCCACTGATTCCTGGTATTGTGGGTGCTGGCTCGCTGATAGTTTACTGGGACACTCACAGGAACGGAGCCATCGTTAATATTATCACCTGCGCTTTTCTGTGTCAGCTGCAAGAGAAGGTCAATAGATTAAAGGACCAGCACCTGCACAGGTGTTTTCAGTTATGTGGCTGATTAGACCTGCACAGGTAAGAGAGGAAAACTGGCAGGAGCTCTCCAAAGATAACGCAGTATCTTTTTCATTGTACTATTGCTAGTTTTACTTAAGTAAAGGATGTGAATACTTCTTCCACTCCTGACTGAACTTGTACCTGATATTGTCATCGAGCTCCAGAGTGGGAGAGTTCTTCATTTCCATCTAAAGGGCCTCGAGGATGTCTTAACTCCTCAATATGCAGACGGTTCTCTTTTCGCTTCCCCATATATAGCTTAAAAGCTGTTAAATAAGTTGTATAATATACAGTATATTCTGTACCCTTCTGTACCCAATACATCTTTTTTTATGGCGGCACCATTCTATCAAACAAACAAATATTGTATTATAATATATTGTTCATCTTATAGAAATGTTCACAAAATTCAGGACATCCTTGGAAAACTAGGATTCAATTAAAAATAATAAATTATTAGAATTGCATGCATTTGGATCGTCCTCGGTACAGTATTGGTCTGCAGCAGGATGAGACATACATCCCACTGGAGAATCTCTGAGGAACCCAATTAAGCAGTCACAAAGCTCTGGCTCAGGGCTCCCTCTATTGGTGAGATACTCATATTGCAGCTGACTTAGCTTTGGAGGTCCTATATCCATCTGAAGCTCACTAAACCTCATATTGGGTTCCACTTAAAATGTAACGAGCTAAATGTGCTGCTGACACACACACGAAATTATTTGTCAGCTCCCTTGCAAACTCCATATGAGAATGGTTGAACCTTTTTTCCAACATCCTAAAATGCTGTCGATATGCTTCAGGGACCAACTCGTATGCCTTCAGTACAGCATCCTTGACTGATTTATAAGTTAGATCATTATCTAAAGCTGCATATTTCCTGACAACAGACACTGCAACAGCAAGGTTTGCTCAGAGTCTGACCAATTTCTTGCCTGTGCAACCCGCTCAAACAGTGTAAAAAACACATCCGGATCCTTCTCGTTAAACTTGGGTAAGAGATGCAAATTACTGACACTATCACGAGAACGCGATGATGAACCATTTCCCGCGTGAAAAACATCTCCAGAAAGCTGACCATCTCTGACTAATGCTATCTTTTCCTGTTCCATTTTGTACCGGAACCGCTCAATTTCCATTTGTTTATCCACTTCTACTCTTTGTTTCTCCAATTCCACTCTGTTTCTCCTTCTCATGAGAAAACTGCAACAAAAGCAATTCTTTTTGCTGCTCAAAGGTAAAGTTCCCTGATGGAACTGAAAGTGCCGGTGCTACTATTCACTGACCCAGTCCCTCTTGTATAGCAACCAGCACCCCTCTCTCAACCAACTGCTTTAACCATAGCCTTTACATTTTCTTTAAGCCGTTTATCACCAACACCACTTAGATCAATATCATACTCTTCTGCAATCTTGAAGTGCTGATCTCTAGAGCAACGATCCAGAACCTCCTCACCTGGAGCATCAACAAAGTCCTGTACCCCTGCCATAACAGACCAGGTCAAAGGCCACCACAAAACCAGACTGTTTTCTAGGTTAACTAGTGCCGTAAAAGAGACTGATATGTTGCCTAAAGTAATGTGGACGTCCCTCTACCTAGACTGCCTATACCAAACTAATTTACCTCACTGAACCCTAGTCTTCATGCAGATTAGCAGTAGGCTTTTTAAACACTTAAACCAGTAACCCGGTTAAGCCCCCAGCAAGCTGGTTACTCACCTGACAGCTATGGATGTGTCCCCGAGACAACTGCTCTGACCGCACACCACACAAAAACAAACAAACAAAAAAAACAAACCAACGCAGCCACATGGACCACGTTGCTTCACCTATTCAGGGACACTCCACAAAAGTCAAAACTTTAACACACTAGAGGACTATGTACTCACTGCTGCCCAAAAAAATGCATCTCCCAAACACATTGTGTGCTGGACAAAACCATTATTACTCAGAGCCAAATATCAGCCTCAAACCAATCAATTTGGACAGACGAGCCCCCACTTGTCACAAACCAAACCGAACGGCCATGACAAAAAAGGGAGACGCATTCAATGAAACAGTTGATTAATTATTTATTAGGTTTAAAGTAATATAAACAGTGACATGTGAAGTCAGTCATTTCAGCAGTGTAAGTGAGTGGGTGCATGTGAAGTGTATATGCAGTGTTGTATAGTGTAGAAACAAACCATAACCACAACAGAAACCAAAATGGGTGTTTCAGGAAGGAGCGAGAGACCAACTGCGAATCCAGAGGGTTTTTGTACTGAGTGCTCTGGCACACAGGGCCAGTTGCAAATGGCCTCAGGTGCTTCCACTCTGCCTGACGACCCTCTGCCACACCCACCTCCACACCTGCAAGGAAGGCAGCCAAACGAACAGGCAGAGAGGGTCGTCACAATATATATACATACATACATACATATATATATATATATCTATATATAGATATATATATATACACACATACATAC